GGGGCGGGGCTCCGTGACGGGCGGGGCGCGTTGCACGTAAGCTGGTTGGGGGCGTGGCGGTGGGCAGGGCCTGGCCAGCTCAGCTGGAGGGCCAAGGAGGAAGTCACTGTGGGAGCTGGAACAGGAGAGTGCTGCCTTTGGAGATCTAAAGAGGAAAACGGGAGGGTCAGCGAAGGGCGTGGCGGACTTCCTGAGCAGAGGCATCGTCCCCAGAGGTCAGGGCAGGACTCCAGGGGGCGTGGCTCAGAGAGGGGCGCTTCTAGGGCGTGGCTCACTTCTGGTGGGCGGGGCTCCGAGTGGGCGGGGCTTCGGTGGGCGGGGCCCTGGGGAGCGCTCTGAGCGCCGAGCGGCCTGCACCTGCAGAGCTGCCGCAGCGCCTTGGCGGGTTCTCCTGGGCGGGCGGGCGGTGACTGCCGCTGTCCCCCAGGGGCCGCGGAGAAGAGCTCCAAGCACGGCGCCGAGGACCGCACGCAGAACATCATCATGGTGCTCAAGGACCGCATGAAGATCCGGGAGCGCAACAAGCCCGAGATCTTCGAGCTCATCCAGGAGATCTTCGCGGTGACCAAGACGGCGCACACGCAGCAGATGAAGGCCGTGAAGCAGAGCGTGCTGGACGGCACGTCCAAGTGGTCGGCCAAGATCAGCATCACGGGTGAGGGCAGCGGTCGCGCGGGGCGGGGCCTGGACACCGCCGGCTTGGGCGGGGGCGTGAGCTCTGTGCTGTCTTCCAGTGGTCTGCGCCCAGGGCCTGCAGGCAAAGGACAAGACGGGGTCCAGCGACCCTTACGTCACTGTCCAGGTTGGGAAGACCAAGAAACGGACGAAAACCATCTACGGGAACCTCAACCCCGTGTGGGAAGAGAATTTCCACTTGTAAGTGCTTGGCTTGCCCGAAGGGGGCTCCCACTTGGCCCACAACAGCTGCCTGACTCCTGCCCTTGTCCTCTCCTCCCTGCGCAGCGAATGTCACAACTCTTCCGACCGCATCAAGGTGCGCGTGTGGGACGAAGACGATGACATCAAGTCCCGCGTGAAGCAGAGGTTCAAGAGGGAGTCGGACGACTTCCTGGGGCAGACGATCATCGAGGTGCGGACGCTCAGCGGCGAGATGGACGTGTGGTACAACCTGGGTGAGCCAGGGCAGCGTCCGGAGACGGGCCTGTGGAGGGGAAGGAGGGGAGCTGGGAAGCGGACCAGCGGGAAGCCCTGCAGAAGGGCACAGTCTCAGGAGCGGAGGACCAAGACCAGGAGCCCAGGACCCTGCCTAAGAAGACAGGACCGTGGGCGGCATTCCGAGGGCAGGCTGGGCCTGAGAGCTGGGGAGAAGCCAGGCCTAGCTCTGCCAGGCTAGGGAGTGAGACACGGCCCTGGGTTTAATCTGAGTGAGGAATCGAGGTCTGTACCCCATGCAACAGGAGAGACAGGGTGGGAAATTCTAGCCGAAGGAAGGACACACAAAGCATGGGAGCAGTCTTAAGGGAGACACCTAGGCCCTAATTTCAGGGCATCTGGGAGGCTACAGAGTGTTTCAGACGTTAGAACGGCTCGTTAAATAGACTTTAGTGAGCGTGGTAGTGCATGTCTGTCATCCCAGCACTCTGGGAGGCTGAGGCAGGTGGAGTGCAAGTTTGAGTCCAACCTGGGCAGTTTAGCTACTTAGCAAGACCCTGTCTTAAATTGTGAAATCATAATAATGATAATGGTGATGATAATAAGGATTGGGGATGAAGCTCGGTGTGAAGGCCCTGTGTTCAGTTTCTAGTACCAAAGGGGAAAAGCCAACCAGGGTGAGAGTGGGGTTTGTGACACAGCTGCCCCTCTCTGCCCTGCAGACAAGAGGACTGACAAGTCAGCCGTGTCAGGTGCCATCCGGCTGCACATCAGCGTGGAGATCAAGGGTGAAGAGAAGGTGGCCCCCTACCACGTCCAGTACACCTGCCTGCACGAGGTGAGCTCCCCAGGCCCCGCCACCCCGCACCCCCCTCACGCGGCCACTCTGCTTGCTCTGCACACCTTTGGGACCACTCCCCATGCTACTCCCTTTACCCAGAAAACTCCTCTCCGTCCACCGCGGCCCAGCTCCAGGGCCCCTCCTCTGGGAAACCCTCCCAGGCATCCCGGCCGACTCACTAGTCAGCTCTGCCTCCTACCTTCTGCCCCAGAACTGCATGCTCAGGGTTGGACCCTGCTGTCCCCAGGACTTAGTTCATTGGATGACTGCTGGGAACGGATGCTTGGATGAGTGAGGGATGAGAGGTAGGAAAGACGGGGGAGACGTGACAGGTACGGATCGGCAGGGACAGGAGTTGGTGGGCAGATACGTGCATAGACAGACAGCGGGTAGACCACGGACTGTGGATGTGTGGTTCAAGTATTACTGAAAGGATGGGGAAGGGAAGGGTAAGCCAGGGCAGGTGGGTGGACGGTGAGTGCATAGGTAGGAAAAGAGATGGATGATGGGTAGACAGATGGATTGATAGGCCCACGGCTAGAGGGGGCTGGATGCTGGGATGGGTGGGTGGATGAATTATTGGATGGACAGGTTAAACTGCGAGTAGAAGGACAGCATGGGTGTGGTTGAACTGGTAAAAGGGAGGGTGAGTGGATAAGCAGACACTGTGATAGGTGGAGGAGGTGGGTGAAAGGATGGGAGGGTGGACAGACAGGCAGACGTCTGCATGAAGGAGTGGGTGGTGGGTGAGAAAGATGAAGAATACAAGAATGGGAGCGGATGGACAGAAGGATGGATGTGTGGTGGAACTATCAGAAGTACAGATGAAAGGATGCTTGCATTTTGTAGTTAACTGGGTGGATGGGTGAAAATATGGGTTTGTTGGTGCATGGATGGATGGATGGACAGATAAGTGGGTGGGGTGGGCGAGGTGATTGTTGATTGCAGGGAAGGGTGATTATTGTATAGATGGACGGATCCGTGGGTAGTTGTGAGGGATGGGTGGATGGACTTGAATTACTAGAAGGACATATAAGTGACTTTGGGGGTAGTTGGATGAATGGGTAGGAGTGTGTGGATGGGTGGACAGATGTTTGGGTGGGCAGATGGTGGGTAGACAGGTGGACAGATGCGGCTGGACACTGGACGAGCAGATGGATGGCCAGAGGGGAGGTAGAAGGATGGACGGCCACCTGCACGTGTCTGTGTTGACTTACCGAGCGGATGGAGGAGTGGCAAGGAGAAACAGGGTAGCAGGACGGGCGCGCGGGTGAGCACGCGGATGCAAGAACCGATGAGCGAGAAGGTGCAAGGTGGATGGCGGCGTGAGTTGCCCTCTGTGATAAACCCTCCCCTCGGGGGCAGAACCTCTTCCACTTCGTGACGGACGTGCAGAACAACGGGGTCGTGAAGATCCCGGATGCCAAGGGGGATGATGCCTGGAAGGTTTACTACGATGAGACGGCCCAGGAGATCGTGGACGAGTTCGCCATGCGCTACGGCGTGGAGTCCATCTACCAAGCCATGACGTGAGGCTGCGGGCGGTCCGGGGAGGGCGCTGGGAGGCCCCGCCCCGGAAGTGGGTGTGGCGGCCGTCTGGGGCGTGGTCTTTGCGGGGCGTGTCTGGCGCCGCGGGGTTGTGGGCGTGGCTTGTCGGGCGGGCTGGCACGCTTGGGGGCTGCGGAACCTGCGGGAGGTGAGCGCCCCATGCCCCCCGCTGGAGCGGCCCGACGCAGAGGTGGAGCCCGAGGCCCGGTGGAAAGCCGGGGACGAAACTGGGGCAGAGCCGGGCGCGGAAGGCCGGCGACCTGCGGACGCGCCCGCTCCTCCCGCAGCCACTTCGCCTGCCTGTCCTCCAAGTACATGTGCCCCGGGGTGCCCGCCGTCATGAGCACGCTGCTCGCCAACATCAACGCCTACTACGCGCACACCACCGCCTCCACCAACGTGTCCGCCTCCGACCGCTTCGCCGCCTCCAACTTCGGGGTCAGTGGCGGGCCTAGCGCGGGCAGCGGGGTGCTCGGGGTTCCGCCCCGCCGCTGGGCCGCACCCGTGCGGGCGCCAGCCCTAGCCTCCTGCTTCCGCCTCCCCAGAAAGAGCGCTTCGTGAAGCTGCTGGACCAGCTGCACAACTCCCTGCGCATCGACCTCTCCATGTACCGGGTGAGGCGCCCCGGCCGGGACGTGTTTGCTCCTCTCCCCCCCGGGCGGTTGCTTCGAGATGCTCACGCTGACCCCAGCCCCCTCCTGCAACTTGGGGAGTCTCTTATTGCCCCCCTGTAGTCCCGCCCCGCCTCCTCGCCGCCTTGTTTCACACCCTGCCTCCAGTATGGGTGTGGGACCCAGGGCCCGCAGGCCGAGCCCTCCCCACCCCAGCCCAGCTCACGGAGTCACTAAATGGCCCAGGCTCAGCCCACACTTGCCGCCCTCCTGCCTCAGCCTCCCAGAGTGCTGGGACGCCGGGCAGGCCCACCTTGCCCCCCTTTAACGCCCCTCTCCTCTCGCTCCCAACAGAACAACTTCCCAGCCAGCAGCCCGGAGAGACTGCAGGACCTCAAGTCCACTGTGGACCTTCTCACCAGCATCACGTTCTTCCGGATGAAGGTAGGGAGGGCCAGGCCCGGCTGACTCCCGCCTTCCCGGAGGCGCTGAAGTCCCACCGGTCATGCAGTCTCACGGGCAGCCTGTGGCACCCCACACCCGCACCGCACTGTGTGGGTTTAAGTCAGGTTCAGCGTTTATCACCTCCTTGTGGTGAATGCTTTCAGAATCCTTTTTTCTAGCTTTGAGCGTGTGGGTGTGAGCACGTTTCTGAGGACTGAACCAGAGCCCTTTGCCCTGAGCTACATCCCAAGCACACATTTTTATTCACTTACGTATTTATTTATTTTGAGACCAGATCTTGCTAAATCACCTAGTTGCCCAGGCTGGAGTCAAACCTGTGATCCTCCTGCCTCAGCCTCCCAGAGCTCTGGGATTACAGGAGTGCGCCCCCACACCCAGCTCTTCTAGCTGCTTGCAAGGCACCCTGCGTTGTTGCTACTGTAGTCACCACCTGTGTGGCAGTGCCCCGGGACGCCTTGCTCCTGTCTGACTGCAGCTTAGTTGATCACCCCCACCCTCTCTCCCCAGCCTCTGTAATCACTGTGTCACTCTCATCTGTACGGGGTCACTTGTGATACAGCCATGCGGTACTTGTCTCTCTGTGCTGAGCTTATTTCGCTTAAGGTCGTGATCTCTAGCGGGACATGGTGGTGCACATGTCTGTAATCCTGAAACTCAGGAGGCTGAGGCAGGAATATCATGAGTTCAGGGCCAATCTGGACTACGTAAGAAGACCCTGTCTCAAGATGCCAGCCGTTCAACAAACAAAAAGCATAATGACGTCCAGTGCCACCCATGTTCTCTCAAATGACGGGATTTCCTTTCTCGTGGCTGAATAGTGTTCCTTGTACAGAGGTGCCATGTCTTCCCTACCCACGCACCGCTGGTGGGCAGTGAGCCTGGTGCCCTCCCTTGGCTGCTGTGGGCAGTGTTGAGTGAGTGTGGAGGACGGAAGTCTCTTCCACACACTGGCTTCATTGGAGCTGGATGCGGGACATGGGTGGCGGACCGTGCGGTGGATCTGTCTTGAATTTCTTGAGATCCCTCCTGACTGCTTTCCAACAGGCCGTATAACGGGCTCCCCGACGGCGGTGTCTGGTTCCCCCTCTGCACACCCTCACCCACTCTCGGTGTCTTTGGTCTTCTGGGCCGTGGCCGTTCTTACTTGGGGAGGTGATCTCTCGCTGTAGCCTCGACCTCCTGCTGTGGCATCCCCTCTGGCCCAAAATGAGTCCCAGCCGTCCAGGCATGTCCCGCTGCCTCCGGACCCACCGCGTGGTCCCCTTCCTCCAGGTCCAAGAGCTCCAGAGCCCGCCCCGAGCCAGCCAGGTGGTGAAGGACTGTGTGAAAGCCTGCCTCAACTCCACCTACGAGTACATCTTCAACAACTGCCACGAGCTCTACAGCCGCGAGTACCAGACGGACCCGGTGAGCCCGGCCGCCCTCCCCACCAGCCCTCCCCCCCAGCCCTCCCCACCGCGGGCCAAGGGCTTCTGCAAAGGGGGCTCCTGAGCCTCAGCTCTGGTGAGGGAAACGTAGCAAGACAGACGCTGTAGAGCAAACCCAGGCCCCCGCCTGGCGCGGGGCGAGCCTGCGTAGCCCGCGTCGGGGCGAGCTCGTCGTGGTGTGTCGTTCCACGGGTCTCTTTTTGTGGGACTTCACTGACGGTTGTTCAGAACCAGTTAGGGGTCGGAGCTGAGCTGGACTGCGTTGGGTTGGAGTGTGGGTCACTCGGCGTTTCTGCCCGTTCGTTCCCGCCTCCATCCAGATCATTCCAGTTCTGAGTCCTTCAGCTGAGTCGCGGCAGGGCTGGCCGGCCGGGGGCGCGTCGATCTCCCTACGCTGGGCCGAGCGGGGCTCGTTTCAGCGGCGACCTAGTGTGGTGGCGCTGGGACGCTGTGCCCAACGCCCAGACTCAGCGGGATTCAGGGACGGCCACAGTTGAGGCGGGTTCAGTTCTCAGCCCGTGGCTGCAGACAGGGAGGTCGTCAGAGTCGGTGGAGAAAGCTGCTGAGGACAGGGACCCGCCCTCCCAGCCCCCACCGCGCACAGCGCACCCTGCTCTGAGCTTCTCAGGACGGGTGCATCCGTGCGTGGGCACCCCGCGGCCCGGGCGCCTCCCCAGGGCCCAGCCCGGCACCCCACCGCTAGAGCTGCACCATCACAAGTGCGGAGATTGCGCTCATTTGCAGCTCGAAGCCTGGGCCGGCCTGGCGGTTAAGGGGTTCAGGAGGGTCCCCGTGCACTGGGCCGGCTGGCGGTTAAGGGGTTCAGGAGGGTCCCGGTGCACTGGGCCGGCCTGGCGGTTAAGGGGTTCAGGAGGGTCCC